GCTGTACATGGGCATGAATTATTTCTGTTTTAATATTTCGTTATGATTATTTACTGTAATTGGTATTTTTTTTTCCTATTAGAAGATTCACCGAAATAATCACAAAATACTTCCTTAGTTAATTACGACTTCAGTGATACCATATATGATAAGAACTGTAAATGACATCTTCATAAAGAAAGGGCCTAATTAGTAGCTCTTTAGCTGTATCAAGTACAACTTTAATACAAACCAGAGTGCGTAGTAATAAATAACTTGATAAAAATGAATGTTTTTAGCATATAAACTAATAATCTTATTTCATTTAAACGAAACGAAATTATGAAACACGATAATTTCAATTCAACTTCTAAAAAATCAAAATAAGAATATCAACTGAAAGTTGTTTGTGCAACTTAGAAATAAAACAATTTAACTAAACAGTATTTACAAAAAATAACATTATTGAAATTTAACATGGAATAAAAAATAAATAAAAAGCAACTATCCTTTCAAATAACTTTAAAGTTTTTTTTGATAAAAAACTCTTAGTAACATAAATTTAAATGTTCTTCTTTGTAATCCACAATAAAACAAGGGTCTTTAAAAAACAAACTTTCATGTTATACAGTTAGAAAATGTGTAGAACAAGGAATATTGTCTTATTGTGAAGATTCCACGATGGAACAGCGGTAAGTCTAGGTATTTACAACGCTAAAATCCGTGGTTCGACTCCCCGCGGTGGTCATAGCAGATAACCCAATGTGGCTTTGCTCTAAAACAAACAAACTGGTCGTGAGGAGAGGAAATGCACCTGATAATGGTCACACGAGTGGTCGAAACGTTGTTATAAAATTAAACTAAAAATATACAATCCACTCAAAAGCTGTACCTCTGGACTTTTATTTAAAGAAATATTGTCTGTACTACACGATCTTTAGCTGGAATTAAGGGCATCACATACAGTGCAATTTTAAACAGAAACTAATCCATGTGACATAAGACAGAAAAATGTACCATAAGGTATGACACGATTATCTGTATGACATGATAAAACAATCTTGGGTTGTTGTTGTTACTTTAGTGCAAACCTACACAATGGACTATCTGCGGGGAATCGAACCCCGGATTTTGGCGTTGTAAGTCCTGTAGTGTGCCGCTGACTCACCGGAGGCTATAATAGGGATGAACGGTTTATGTGTCATAAGATGAAACAAATCTCTGTAACGTGATATCAAATTATATCTGTGTAATAAAAGACTGTCAATACAATAAGGTAGAACAATAACCGTGTCATAAGCTAAAGCGATATTTAAGAGAGAAGATATAACGATGTTTGTGGTATAATCTACAATAATGTCTGTGTCATAAAATAGTTATATATTTGTACGTTCAGCACCTTGTGTGACACATGAGTTAAAACAGACAAATCAAACACTTCTAAGGTTCAGTCGCCGGGACAGCCGTAAGTATATGGACTTACAATGCTAAGATACGGTGTTCGATTCCCCTCGGTGGATACAGTAGATAGCTCAATGTTGCTTTGCTCTAAAACATACAATCTAAGGCGCAGATATAATCATTCCTAAGTTAGAACTAATGAAAAAATGGAGGGAAACGAATCAGAAGTACCCACCGTCAACATATCCACTCTTAACCGAATAGCAAGGTTCAGTGACACATATATAACGCTCCCCACAGCTAAAGCTACGGAGTGCGTTCAATGACTCTCGTGACTCGAACCTTGGAGTTTCTGATCTGCAGCACGGCACGCTGATTACTAGACTACGAACTATCCACCATAAAATAGAACAGTTTTTATGGCATACGATAAATTAACGTTTAGGACACGATAAAGCAATATCTGTGTCATTATACGTAACGATATTTATGACATATTTAACAGACACTGTTACAGAAAGCAAGACAATCCCCGCAACACGGTATAGAACGATATTTGTGTCATCAGAAAGAACAGACCGATGGCTGTGATTGCTGGTTGGTTGGTTGTTGTTAAACACAAAGCTACACAATGGCTATGTGTGCTGTGCCCACCACGGGTATCCAAACCCGGTTTTTAGGGTCGTAATCCTACAGAGATCTATAATTGTCTTCTAAAGGTAAATACCAAAGTTGAAATAAGGTATTTCCAAAGTCTGGTTTATTACAATATTACACGGAGTGTATCTGAAATAATAATCATTGTTCAAATACCAAGTATTATTACTAATATCGGATAACAAATCCGTAAAGTGGTAATCTGAGAATTTCAATTTTTGATTGTATGAATTCTCTTTAATTTATCTGAATTAATCATGAGCAGTATTACACAAATGATCTTTATACTTAAGTGTTTCTAGATGTAAGGACAGATACAACAAAACAAAATGTATGACAACGATGAATGTGATTTAATTCACCCGCAATAATGTTTTGTTTCGTAGTGAATATCATATCTCTTTGCTTATTAGTAATGAGGACTATATGGCTATCAGCAGTAGGATATTCAGCTGAAGCATAACAATATTAATGAGGACTATACGGCTATCAGCAGCAGGATATTGAGCTGAATCATAACAATATCAATGAGGACTATACGGCTATCAGCAGCAGGATATTGAGCTGAATCATAACAATATTAATGAGGACTATATGGCTATCAGCAGTAGGATATTCAGCTGAAGCATAACAATAGTAATGAGGACTATATGGCTATCAGCAGCAGGATATTGAGCTGAATCATAACAATATTAATGAGAACTATATAGCTATCAGCAGCAGGATATTGAGCTGAATCATAACAATACCATATAGTCCTCATTATTATTGTTGTGATTCAGCTCAATATCCTGCTGCTGATGGCCGTATAGTCCTCATTAATATTGTTATGATTCAGCTCAATATCCTGCTGCTGATAGCTATATAGTTCTCATTGATATTGTTATGATTCAGCTCAATATCCTGCTGCTGATAGCCGTATAGTCCTCATTAACTATCAGCAGCAGGATATTGAGCTGAATCATAACAATAGTAATGAGGACTATATGGCTATCAGCAGCAGGATATTGAGCTGAATCATAACAATATTAATGAGGACTATACGGCCATCAGCAGCAGGATATTGAGCTGAATCACAACAATAGTAATGAGGAGTATATGGCTATCAGCAGCAGGATATTGAGCTGAAGCATAACAATATGTTTTTTTTCTATTTTGGTTCTAAAATTCTAAATTTAAATTCAAATTCAGAACTTATGTGTTTTTTTGCTACCTATACTCCTGGATATGTATGTTTGTCTGTTTATCATAGAGCCTGTAGACTCTATACATAGGGATGGCCAAGGTACTCAATACGCATAATACACATATGCAAGATAAAAAAATCAACAGTGACAGAGAGTTTTACTTTAAAACATGATTGTCGGTCACTTTCATTTGTTTCTCTGCATAAACAAGCCCAAAAACAAGGCAAGAAACCATCGCTAAGATACCATACCAGAAAGTGATCAACCCACCAAATTGTTCATCTTTCTTCTTCTTGTTTCAGTCGAGATAACTCTACAAATACATTATAACTAACGTCAGTTTAAACCTAAATCCACTCTATGTGTTTCTGGGCGGTGCACGATGTCATCGCTTAGTCGTAATGACTAGCAATAATTAAAATAAAATAATAATTCTAGTGTAAGTGATGTTATCATTACCCCTTGAAGTCAGCTTTTTTACAGAAATCTGGTGTTCTTTTATAAAGCTTAAATACATTACCCCTTCAAGTCATACAGGGTGAAACAGGAATCACCAGCCAATAATAGATGAACATTAGATGACTGTAACATGTAGCATACTCAATGCTTTGTACACCATACAATCGGTGTCTTTAGGGAGCCTTTATTATGTATAAAGTGATGGAGTAAAAAAATCAATACACATAATATTAAATTATATTACACACATTCATAGAATACACTAACTTTCAATCAAAGGGGAACAAAACGTCACAAAACAAGTAACAACAAACATTTTGTAAATGTAAAATGATGCGGTGATGGCAGTACCAAAAAGAATGCAAACAATAATATAAGGATGATACAGCTATACATAGATCATTCCTATATGACTTTCACTATTAAAATTTAGTGTTACACTGTAAAATGCATACTTGACTTTAATGTTACTGCACTTGGAAGTTATATATTCCTGACTGTTAGTATCCAGTTTGTTTATCATAATATCATGGTCATGTCAGGGTAGGCATCATTGTAGTGTAACGAAGAACCTATGACTTATGTAGATGGAAAAGTAAGTTGAGTCAAAACGTGTCTTGATTATTACAAACTCTCGCTATAAGGTCGGTCGAATTGACCGCCCTCTTGGCCATTTTGTACTCGTGCATTTTACAGTTTAAGATTAAATTTTAATATTGAAAGTCATGTAGGGATGATCTATGTATAGCTGTATCATGCCTATATTATTGTTTGCATTATTTTTGGCACTGTCATCCCTACATCATTTTACATTTCAAAAATGTATATATTACTTGTCACATATCTCAATGATGCTTTCTAACGTAAACTTCATTTAACCTCTATACTCGCATCAGCAAGTATCAGTTTTTCTAGCAAACAAAAAATAATAAATCATAACTTTGCATGGCCAAATGATTAGGGTGATTCACTCGCAATCTGAGGATTGCGGATTCGAATCCCTCGTCCCACAAAACATGCTCGCCCTTTCAGCCGTGGGGGCATTATAATGTGACGGTCAGTCCCACTATTCGTTGGCAAAAGAGTAGTCCGAGAGATGGCTGCTTTCCCTCTAGTCTTTCACTGTTAAATTAGGGACGGCTTTGCGCGAAATTCAAATCAAATTCCCATGGTGTTTAATCAGTTGCCGAAAGATAGTCAAGGTTAAAATTATTTTTTAAAAAACCTCCATAATGATTGTGCCTTCTTAAAACAAATCGGTAATATTAGTAAAGTAGTCATCTAGTTTAGGACACTCTAAAGTGCACCGATACTCACCGTTCTGACCCCGTCTCCAAGACCACAGCGATATGAAGAATCATAAAGAAAGTCCAGCGGTGGGGAAACTGGTCTTCCTTCGCTGTCCACCCACAGGTAGTGATGAGGATCAACACTGTGGATATTCCCTGGACCTCGTGAAGGAATCACTGTGAGCTGCACTTTTCTGCTTGTCGAATAGAGGATCTACATGTAGGCAGAACACAGACTCTTGTTACTTTTAAAACAGTAGAGAAGAACAAATACAAGTCCTATTAATTCTAACTAGCAGAGACCCACAAAACATCTGCGGCCAAATTAGTATCTTTATTGCAACAGTAACTCTTTCAATACAGAATTTACAAAATAATATGAAATAATTCTAATCTCAGACACCAAAATCTCCAATTTCACTTGTCTTAGGCTTAATATTAGTTAAGCCTTTATTAAGTACGGCCTATGTTTAATAAAAAGATAAATTAACACTGTAATTTGTTAACGTTTTTACTTTCCTTTAGTTAGAGCTAAACTTTACCATACTTAATACTATCATCAGATAAACTTATAATGTTATTCTACGACCTAACGTTACACCTTTTTTTTTAAACTTTGATAAGCTTTTTAATGTGTTGTTGTACAAGATGTCTATTAAAGTATATTTACATCCGCCTATTGTTTAGATCCGTTTAAATAAAAATATATAAATACTTGGTGATTGTTTAACCTATTATTTAATTTTGATATT